CACTTCCCTGATACAAACCACAACATCGTCATCATACAATTCTAAAACTCCCTTAACTACACTCTTATTGTAATGTTTATCATTGTTATCAATTGAGTTCTTCATTACTAATCTCTTACATTCTAAATCTAAACAATCTAAGATGACTCTCCAATTCTAAAACTCCCTTAACTACACTTTTATTGTATTGTTTATCATTGCTATCAATCGAGTTCTTCATTACTAATCCCTTACATTCTAAATCTAAACAATCTAAGATGACTCTCTCTAATTTTGTCTGCCACTAAAAGAGGAGAAGGTTACCTTAACCTGGGAGTGGAGGAGGAGTTGCCAGAGATGCAAGTTCGTTGAAGAAACGCCACAGACGCTCGAAGCAGAGGAGTCACCATTGTTGCATTCGAAGAGGGGAAGGGTGTTAAAGCTAAGTTTGAAGTGGGAGAGTGCATGAATGAGGCTGTGGGGCGAAGGTATTTTATTAAGTTACCAGCATCAACTTTGCATCGGCTAGTGTTCGACAGTAATAAGTGGACCACGCTTCAACGCTAATTCCACGTAAAACTCGCTGTGAAAAGTGTTCGTTGAATTTATTCGGCAGATAACACATAGGCAACGCTAAACAGACACAAATATGATGCTAAAATTTATGTCGGAAGATGTCTGAGTACATTCTTTGCAGTGTTGCCAACAATAATACTATTCCTGCAACTATCATCTAAAATTCTCTCTCAATAAATATAGTTTATATAAGCACTTAACAATTTATCACATATGTGAACTCATACACTAGAAAATTCCCTTAAAACATCATTTAGACATTTTCTTACCATGGATTTTTTTTTTTTTTTGAAATAGGTGGAGTGGACTACTTTTCTAAGTGATAGTAGTCCTCCATTGGGGTCTCTTGCTCTCCTCTAGGTTTTTATTTTTGGGCTTCATGGGCTATTCTTGTATGATTTTTTTCGTGGGGCTTTCAAAATTCCTTCTAATAGTAATCATTGCACTAAAGTTAGTATACTATTATCATGGTCTTTACAAAATAATGAAGGAAAAAGTTCTCTAGAAAAGCTAACCATTTATTGCTTTTAATTTTATTATGGATTACAAATTTTTTAATTGTAAGTGTGAACTCATCTTGATAAGTTGCTTGAGATTTAAAGATAAATAAATGATATAAAGTAAATTTAAGGATAGAAAGGTTAAACATTGTCCATGTTCCAAGTTTTTGGGACCTTTTTTTAGTTTTTGGCTTCGCTCTACTCTTTACATAACTCCTTGTCTTGTGTGGTATATTCCATGCTCATTGCATCTTTTAGAATGTTTGATTTAGATTCATTCGTGGATTAACACACCTAAAAAAAGAGTTTAAAATAAGGATGAGAATCTAAGAATAAATTAATAATTCTTTAGAAGATATCTCTCATACAATATTTATGAATTGATCCTCTCCTTTTTTTTATAATGGCCTCCTTATTTATAAATGAGTTGACTCATAAGTTATGAATGTTATAAGTAATACAATTATGATCATAACTCCTAAGAGGTATCATTTTATCTTTTTCTCTTTTTTTTTTTTTCAGGTGTGGGATGTTATTATATTTATATAACGACTTGCATTGATAATTGCTTCTCATGAGTGTTTCTCTTTTGACAGTCCTTTGTCAGCCCAAGTGTCGATGCGAGTAGGTGAGGTCTATTGTCCTAATTGAAGGTTTAAGCATTGAGTTTGCCATTTTCATGTAATTGGGTGTATCTTTTTGTAGAATTGATTGTTTCCTCCTTCAACTTACTAACCCGGGTTGGGTCTTGACAAGTTGTATCAAAGCCGGACCTAATAAAGTCTAGCAGGAAAATGATCATGAAACTCATTAAGAAAATAATTTATGATCATTAAGAAAATTTAATAATAATTACAATATTTGTGATAATAATTATAAAACTTTAGCATCTCAAGGCAATTGATGTCGATCAGAACAATACATATGGGAATACTAGAGAGGTAAGAGCTACT